ACAGGCGCCCGCCACAACGCCTGGCCATTTTTTTTGGTTGCAGCCATCATTGTTGTTTGGTGGGCCTGGGCTGGGGATTTGAACCCGCCACCTTAGGTGTATGTGGCTGGCGCCTTACCGCTTGAGCCACAGGCGCCAAGCCAACACCTGAGCTTAAGCAATTCATCCACCTCGGCCTCCCAGAGTGCTAGGATAATAGGTGTGAGCCACCGTGCTGGCCCAGAAGCTCAGTTTTTTATTCCTCCTCCCTTCCACGTCAGCATTCTAAGAACCTCACTTGTATTAGCTCATTTAATTCTCGAAATTATCCTCTCATTCTTCCCTATTTGACAAATGAGAAAACTGTTAAGAATTCATATGGCCGAGCAAGAATCTGAGCCCAGGCTATCTAGCTGGTACTTTTTTTTTGGTTGCAGTTTGTGGCAGGGTTTGAACCTGCCACCCTTGGCATATGGGGCCGGCACCCTACTCACTGAGCCACAGGAATCACCCTATTTTTTCTTTTTTTATTGTTTGGGATTCATTGAGAGTACAGAGAATTAGGTTACACTGATTGCCTTTGTTAGATAAAGTCCCTCTTATAATTGTGTCCCTCTCTAGCTGATTCTTGAAGCAGGAGGGGAAGGGGGAAAAGGAGCCAGGAACGGGAAGGGTCTTCTAGACCTAAGAAAGAGCTTGCATTGTTTCTAGGATTCTGTCTCAAAATTCCTGATCTTTTCTCTAGCTGCCCATTATATTCTCCAACTATTCCCCTCCTCTATGGAGGTAACTCTCTTTTCTTCCCTGTTCTCTACCCATTATCTGTTTTGGTTTTTTTTTTTTTGAGTCCTATTCTGACCTTGTTTTGATATGGAAACCTGAGGTACAAGGGAACCTGATGTACAAAGAGGTATTGTAGTCCTGGTGTTTTACTTTTTCTCCTTTTACACAAATGAGGCATCTGGAGGAGAGGAGAAGGGAGGGGCTGCTCCTGGGGCCAGAGCAAGGATAAACTCAGCAGTGACCAGCCCCTCTGGCTGGGCCCAGGAGGAAGTAGATGGGCTCACACCACTGCCAGTGAAAGTTTATGGGGGTTGGAAAGAGAGGAGCCAGAAGAGATGAGGGCAGGCAGACTCAAAGAAGTGAAATTTACCAACTTGGCAGTTGCCTATTGGTCAGGTCTCAGATGGGGGAGAGGGGAGGAGAAGGAAGGAGGTGGAGAGTGGTAGTGGGGAGCCTGAGATTAGGAGATTACAGGTTATAGGAGCCAGGGGTTGGATGGTTTGGGGGAGGGAGGGAATGAGAAGTGAAGTTGCTGAGGAAACTTTTCATTTCCCTCAGAGATCAAGTTCTGGGGAAAAGTTACAGACCAGGAACCCACCTGTCTTGGCAAAGCTGATGATTTCACATTCCTGTCCCCTGTTGTCTTCTGGAAGTGTCCCCTGTGGGGGCCTATGGAAGTGCTGAAGTGCGGTACTCAGAGCAGCTCTGGACACAGGTCGGCTCAGTGTTGGGCGGTGGCTGAGGTGCAGCTTGTCCAAGATGCTTCTTTTGGCCAGGTCCAGAAGCAGCTCCCGCTGGCTCTCCACATCCAAGGCAGGCCCCCCACAAGCTGGACACTGACTGCCAGTGCTGGGAGTGGTCATTGTGACTGGAGCCAGGAAGAGGAAGGCCAGGAACAATGAGGAGGCCATTGTTGGGGGAGGCCTTCCTTGAGCTACACCAACCCAGGGCTCAGGGCCTCAACAGCTGTGGTCTCAACTCGGTCCTGGCTGCTAGGGGCCCTGGAAGAAGTGTGTGTCCAGCTGGCATGGCTCCTTGTTGCAAGGGGCAGGGCAGGCAAACATCTGACTTGAAGAATGAAGCCAGTTACAGGTAGAATTTGGCAGAATCTGCCAATGCATAGTCGGTGAAAGTATGGTGTGGGGGATGTGAGGAAAGGTTGGTTTGTTTGGGGAAAGAAATGTCCCTGGACCAATATTAGGAGGCAGTTGTTACCCATGTGAGCTGCCAGGCCTGGGGACAAAGGTGAGGGATGAAATTCCTCCTGGGATCACTGGCCTTGCTGGAAATCCTGTGGGGAAAGAGACAGATCAGAGGTTTTAAGATAAAATGTTAAAGGGTGACTCTCAAACTAGAAGGGGTCATTGGCAGGGTACTTTAGCTCACTGTCACGCAAGAGCAATTGCTGAGAATTGCATTCAACTTTGTGCAGTGCTTTGAGGCTTATTTATTTATTTATTTATTTTGAGACGGAGCCTCAAGCTATCCCCCTGGGTAGACTGCCATGGCATCACGCTCACAGCAACCTCCAACTCCTGGGCTCAAGCGAGTCTCCTGCCTCAGCCTCCCAAGTAGCTGGGACTACAGGCGCCTGCCACAACGCCTGGCCATTTTTTGGTTGCAGCCATCATTGTTGTTTGGCGGGCCCGGGCTGGGGCCGAACCCGCCACCTTAGGTGCATGTGGCTGGCGCCTTAGCCGCTTGAGCCACAGGCGCCGAGGCTATTTATTTATTTTTGAGACAGAGTCTCAAGCTATCACCCTGGGTAGAATGCCGTGATGTTACAGCTCACAGCAACATCCAATTCTTGGGTTCAAGTGATCCTCTTGCTTCAGTTTTTCTATTTTTAGTAGAGATGAGGTCTCGCTTTTTGCTCATGCTGGTCTCAAACTTGTGAGCTCAAGCAGTGTACCCACCTTGGCCTCCCAGAGTGCTAGGATTACAGGGGTGAGCTGTGCTTTTTAAAACCTACCTCCAACCCTTCCATCCTTCCTTTTCCCTGGAGGGAATTCTCAACCCTACCTTCTTTGTAAGCCCTGGTTGGGTTTTGCGCTGAGGGGATCAAAACTCTAAAGTCTGGCTTGGTGCCTGTAGCTCAGTGATTAGGGTGCCAGCCACATGCACTGGGGCTGGCAGGCTTGAACCCTGCCCCAGCCTCTAAACAAACAAAAAAATAGCTGGGCGTTGTGGCAGGCGCCGTAGTCCCAGCTACAAGGGAGGTTGAGGCAAAAGAATTGCTTGAGCCTAAGAGTTTGAAAATGCTATGAGCTGTGACTACACAGTGCTCTACTGAGGGTAACAAAGTAAGACTCTGTCTCAAAAACAAACAAACAAAAAACCCCCTAAAGTCTGAAAGTTAAGGAAAGGGAAATAAAAGTATTCCAGCCAGGTGTTCTGTGTCCTCAGAGGGAAGTATGAAGATGGGGAAGGTGCTTGAGATCTAAATTTCCTCAGCCCTTGGGGTTTTCTCTGCCTAGGAAAAGAAGTTAAGAGATTTCTCAGACTCCCTGGCTCTTACCCCGAAGGTTTCTACAGAATTTACCTGGCTGGAGTGGAGGATTGAGTTAGGAACATAGGCGTTTTTTTTTTGTTTTGTTTTGTTGTTTTTTTCATTTTTAGTATTTTATAAAAGCCTAACAGAAGCATAGGCTATTAGGCCAGATAATCTTGGTTATTCTTTGTTACAGAGGGAATGGCCTGAAAAAAAAAACACAAAAATATTTCCTGTCTCTCCAACTTTTTGGGAACTAAAAATTGCGTCCCCACTTCAGGCCAGTGGTTGGGAGGGGCAGGGGATGTCTCTGGCTCTTTGTGCCACAGGAGATAGCTCAAGGGAATCATCTGGGTGGAGGTCACAAGATCTTTTTAGCTTGGAATGGGCAGAGGTTCTGAAATTGGGATTAGGGGATCAGAACCTTTAAAAGCTCTGTGCTTCTGCTAAGAAGCGGGAATTTGGATCTTGAGACCATTTTCGACCATTTTCTTCCTTTGCTGGCCAAGTAATAATCTTATCTTTCTTTCTCCTCAAATTGCTTGTCCCTCTTTTTCTGATATGGCTCCCCAGGACAAGTGCTGGACTTTTGGTAACATTCTTCAGTTACAGTACTTGTCCCAGAAATACCTCAGATTATTTCATTCTGTGTTATAACATACAAAGTCCTTTGTAATCTGCCCTTCCCAGTTATTATACATTTCTTATACTGCAGTGGGGAAGAGTAGGCTCTGAAGATGAACTGCCTCCATGCAAAATCTGAGACATTGGTTAAATTACTGCACCTCAAGTTTCCCCATCTATAAAAAAGGTATAACAGAACCTATGTTTTGAGGAGTTGATAGAAGGAATAGATGTAAATGTGCACACTGTCTCACGCCTTTAAGCCAAGCAATTTGGAAGGCTCTGGCAAGGAGTTCAAGGCTTCGGCCAGCTATTATCACATCACTGTACTCCAGCTTGGGCAATAGAGGGAGACCCTATTTCTCTTTAAAAAAAAAAAAAAAAGGCCAGCACACCTATACAAGTATTCTTCTTCTTCTTCTTTTTTTTTTTTGAGACAGGGTGTCACTCTGTTGCCCTGGGTAGAGTGTTGTGGCATCATCAAAGTTCATAGCATGCTCAAACTCTTGGACTCAAGTGATCCTCTTCCCTCAGCCTCCCTAGTAGCTGGGACTACAGGTACTCTTCACAACGCCCAGCTAATTTTTCTATTTTTAGTAAAGACAGGGTCTCACTGTTGCTTAGGCTGACTCCTGAGCTCAAGCAATGCACCTGCCTGGGCCTAACAGAGTGCCAAGATTATAGGTGTGAGTCACCGTGTCTGGCCTATACATGAGTTTCTTCATGATTGGCTGGAATCTCTCTGCAGATTACTTAGTCTCTCTTACATCTAAGACTAATTGCCCCTTCTTGTGTTTCCACAGCCCACTGAAACCTCTTTATTATAGCACTTACATAGTACTATAATAATTGACTTTTTGTCTATTGCAGTTTCTATCACTATATTAATATTTATATATAGTATATATACTATTAATGTCACTATATTAATATTTACTATATTATAAATATATAACATATAGTGTGTACATATATATATGTAGAGAGAGAGAGAGAGAATGTCTCACTTTGTTGCCCTCAGTAGTCTGTGGAGGCATCATAGCTCACAGCAACCTCCAACTCTTGAGCTCAAGCGATTCTCTTGCCTCAGCCTCCCAAGAGGCTAGGAATATAGACCCCTGCCACAACGTTAGGCTATTTACAGATGTGAGCCATCTCACCTGGCAAAGATGATTTTCTTTTATGGTTTTTTTTTTGCAGTTTTTGGCCGGGGCTGGGTTTGAACCTGACACCGGGTCAGGTTCATATGGGGCCGGTGCCCTACTCCTTTGAGCCATAGGCACCGCCCAAGATGATTTTCTTTTAAAGACAAGGTCTGCTCTGTCACCCAGGCTGGAGTGTTCAGTTGCACCTTCATCTTTAAAGCTCACTGCAGCCTGGAACTCCTGGACTCAGGGTCCCTCCTGCCTCAGCCTCCCAAATTGCTGGTACTACAGGCATGCACTACTATGCTTCCTAATTTTTTTTTTTTTAATTTTTTGTAGAGCGAGAGTTTTACTGTGTTGCTCAGGCTTTTCTGGAACTCCTGGCCTGAAGTGATGTTCCTGCCTCAGTCTCCCAAAGTCTTACAATTATAGATGTGAGCCACTGCTCCCAGCCTAAAATAACTTTTGAGAATTGTATTTTAGAGAGGGGATGATGGTAAGAATGTAACTTTAATAGGGTGGACTGAATTCCTAGTAGGTCAGTTTTTTTGATCTATGAAATGTACTGAAGGAGCTGAGGAAATTTCATCCCAAAATATGACTCCCTGGTATAAATATTTTAAACTGAAAGCCAGTCAAGGTCAAGATACACTGGAGGAAGCCTACCCTCTATCTGCATTAACTGGACAGGCCTGATCAAAGGATCAAAGGGCTTAGGTGACTCCTCTTGCCTTCTCATTATCTCAAAATATTTCAGGAACGAGGGTCCGCAATGTAGCTGGACCTGGCCCAAATTATTTGGGTCATAAACACCTGTCTCCCAGGTTGATCTACAAGTCAATCTGTTTCACCCCCATCCCTTGATCCTCCCTAGCAACCATTTCTGTCCCATAGTCCTCAATTTTCCTCCTCCCCTCCAAAAGGCCTGTATAAAGATATCTGAACTCTCTGGGTTATGCCTCTGTGATTTCTCCCTTGTGGGCATGGTAAATAAATCTTTTCTCTTATTAATCTGCCTTAATTGTGAATCGAAAGACAACTTTCCTCTCGCCCCTTCAGAACCTACCGAACTACATCCATTTATACAAATATTAATTATTGAGTTATTCGCCTTTTGGGGGGAGCAGCAGTTACTGTCCTAAAAGTGCAAGGCTGTTTTGAAAGTGCTCTGTAAATTGCAGTAACTGTACACTTATTATTAGTATCACATTGGGTATGCTCTCCTACAGTCTTGGTGGCTTCAAGGTGGACTGAAGATGGATACCAATCGGTGGCTTGACAGGTAGGGGGGCGGGAGCTACAGTGAGCGCGCGCGCACACGCGGGGGCTCGCCGAGGCGCACACGGGACGCAGGGACCGGAGGAGCGCGGGACGCGGTGACGACTACGCCGGACGTGGTGACGTAGCGCGCAGGCCGCAGTGGGGGGCGGACTCTGGGCCTTTCTTCCCCTTCAGATTTCCCCCTCCCCCCTTTTCTCCCTTTCCGGGT